ACGAAGAGAAGAGAGAATAGAGTAGGTTATGCGATGGGGAACCCGTGAGTAATGGGTAGAGTTTCCGCACTGTACGCCGCATTGAGAGAGCGGCATGAGTATGAGAGAGAAAAGTGGTGTAGCCCGTGAGAGTACATGCGGTGAGGGCTATACCGAGAGTACCGAGAGAGGATTATACACTCACATGGCCAAGGGTTCCGAATCCATGCATAACCGAGTCTGATCGGCTAGAATGAGTAGAGGTCAAGTAGAGTGAGAACGAGTCCGGCTATGCCCCAGTAAGATGGGGTCGTGACTACTTAAAGAGAGTAATAGCAAAGAGTTCTAAGAAAGAGAAATAAAGAGAGAAGTACCAAAGAGAGAAATTGATGAGGAGTTGCAAGGAAAGAATTAGACAAAGAGAGCTACGGGATAAATGAGTAGAGGATTTACTTACTGAGCATTATTTTAGTGCTCACCCCGTTGTTTTTCCTATGTGTTTGCAGGATCTAGGTGAGGACACGGTCGGATGGACGTCAGCGCTCGAGGGGAAGCGGTTACACTGTCTACCATTTTGATGACTTTTGTACATAGTATAATTTTGTGTAAAAATGTATATGTTTGTAAAGAATGTATATGTATATTTAATAAAAAACAAAAATTTGGGCCCAATTTCTTATATTAATTTATATGTATTTCATATGAGTATTTGAATAGAAAGTGGCTATTACAAATGATTATGCTTTGGTTGTGTGTTTGCTCTGAGTTTTAATGCTTATATTTGTTAACAGATGAGATTGAGAAATGAATCACGTTAAGCTTTTTGGGTAATCCCCATTGTAGTATTGGATGTAGAGATAGATCAAAAATCAATGAAATCATTGTAGGATTCTTTGCTTAATGAGTTTGGAATTGTTAACTTTTAATTGTTGGTGCAGAAAGTTAATAAGGAAAGATAGGAAAACATAGCCTGAGAAGGTAGTTTAACACCTTAGTGAATCCGATTTACTACCAATGCATATGAATGTGAATTTAGTGTAAGGGTATATTGGCTACAAACCAGAACCCGCCATAAAAACTGCCTAGCAGTATTTGGCAACCTCTGGTATAACAACGCCACGTGCACCTTAATTTTTAGGTTTAACCCATAAAATCCGGATGAAGTCAAAACCCTACCGTTTTAATTGAATTGAATATCCGTGTTTTCATTTTGCATCTTAGTTAAAACCGTAAGTTGGTAGTTTCAGTTTTTGTTTACTTTAATTAAAAATTGCTCCCAATTATCCAAAGAATTCGGTTGCTCCAACTTGAGAACATTAGGAAACTTAGTGCTTAGCTAGCAGTCCTCGTGGGAACGATACTCACTCATCACTTTATTACTTGAGCGATTAGTATACTTGCTACATATTGCATGTTGTAGGAAACACGCATCAGTGGTTCTAGTCTCCAACTAAACTTCTGGTAACCCTTCCTTCCCTTAGCCCTCACTAAATTGCCTCATTCAGCCTTATTGACTTGAGCATCGGAGTGCCTATAGTAGACATCACACGAGTGTTTACATAAGCTTCACGCTTGTTTACTTTGTGTGCAGGTACATTGGATTGTTAGTGGCCTCAACCTCACAAGATCAAACCTTCTTTCCATAACAGTAGAGTTTAGCATCTACAGTTTGACACCCACCATGGGGCTTTTGGCAATCAACTCCCGTTCAACATCCTGCTCTACAAAGAATCACATCATGGCTAAAATCACAGACACTGCCCCAATAGACCTCACGGTTAAGGTCGAGGCTCTCTCGGCATTAATGCAGCAACAGGCTAACAAGGTCACGACATTGGAAGCCGAAAACAACAGCTTCCGAGCCGAGAATCAGAGCTCATGGGAAAAGGTAACTCAATTTTATTCTCTTGAATTCCCATTCAACCAGATACCGGAGAATTGCTTCCGCGTCCTAGTAAAGTCAATGCAACGGCTCATGACTCTAAACACCAGATCCTTGGCCTTAGACCCATAGTCTTCCCAACTCTAATCATCTATAATGGATGGCCTGACACCCATCATTATAGACACAACAAACCTAGCCATGCAAACATGATCCTTATCAGTTGACCCTTTAATCACCCGTGACCAGCTTAGTCAAGCCATCCCCAGCCAACAGCAACAAAATATTACCAACATCGATCATCCCATCAGTATGAATGACCCACATTACACCCAGACCCTTCTAGCTTGCTCTTCCTCATGGATCGAGTAGTCACCCCCACTGAACACTGCTCGGTTCGACTCACCCTATGGGTCAAGCGGCACAACAAACCTAGCCATGCAAGCACGACCCCTATCAGCTGACCCTTCAATCACCCGTGACTAACTCAATCAAGCCATCCTCAGCCAACAACAACAAAATATCACCAACATCGATCACTCTATCAGTATGAATGACCCACATTACACCCAAGACCCTTCCAGCTCTACACTTCCTTATGGGTTGAGTAGTCACCCCTACCGAACACCATTCGTTTCGACTCACCCTCGAGCCGTCCTCAGATCACACCTTTAACCATCCATACTGGCAAAAGCACCCGAAACATCACATTTGGGATGACTCATCCTGAAGAGGTGAATAGAGTCCCCAACACCCATACAACCAACCATCAAGCTGCACCTAATGACTTGGCTTGCCATACTAGATCGAGTGAGAAAAACACCCATCACCAAACCGTCAATCTAGACCTGCTATCTACCGCCACTCCCCTTCAACAAGTATTAGCAAAGAAGCTAGCCGACATGGAACCTATGATAAGATGCATACCTTGAGTTCCCACCACAGCCAAGAAAAGCCTTCCCTGTAGTTATGTCGACTCACCCTTCGTGGTAACAATAATAAAGGGGATGGGTTAGACAGTCAAATGGCCACCCAAGCTTAGACCCGATGTTAAAAGGGACACGACCAAGTGGTGCGAGTTCCACCATGACCATGGACACACCATGACTAATTGCATCATTTTGAGGTTAGAGGTTGCGACTTTACTCAAAAGAGGACACCTTTGGGACCTGCTGACAGACAAGGGCAAGGGCACCATTACAAAGATGAGAAAAATTGATCCTCCCCTCCTCTAGATCCGAATCCAGAAGGCTTCTACCACATGATATTTGGTGGTTTAGAAATCAGTGAAGTGAGTTACTCTTCAACTAAAAGGCACGCCCGAGCCAACCATCACCTCGAAGCCCACTCTTCCCATCCACCAACGTAGAAGCCAACTAAGTAGGTCATTCAGTTCAAAGATGATGAGCCAGTCACCTTAACTGCCCTACACCATGATGCTTTAGTGATCACTCTGTAGATAGTGAATATCATAGTCAAGAGGATATTTGTGGATAGAGGCTCTTAAGCCAACATCCTCTTCCTAGAAGTTGTCAAAATAATGGGCTTGGATGAGTTGGCCATCAGCAGGTGCCCCACCATTCTAGTCGGTTTCAGCTTTGAGTAGAAATACATCATCGGGGAGATAGCCCTTCCTGTCTATACTCGCGGAGTGAGTTGACATACCACCTTCCTTGTGCTAGATTGTCCTTCACCGTACAACGTCATGTTGGTTCAACATTGGATCCATGACATGAGAGTCGTCCCTTCAACTTTTCATCAGACAATCAGGTTCCCTGCCAGATGGGGAGTGAGAGAAATTAAGGGCAACCTTAAAGCCTCAAGAGACTGTTACAAGAATGCTTTCAAAGGCAAATCCCACACTTTATAGCAACTACAGACAAACCTAACTCGTCAAGTTGAGTTAGATCAGCCCTCTATGGAAGAGTTGGATGAGGTCCAAGTCCACCCAGAGTATCCTAACTGGAATACTCAGATTGGATCCCAAATGAGTCCTGAAATAAGAGAACAGCTAATAAACTTCTTGAAGCAGAATCATGATTACTTTGTGTGGTCCCATGCAGATATGACATGGATCAGCCTTGACGCAATTGTGTACCACCTCTTGGTTGACCCTAACTATCACCTGATCAAATCGAAGAGAAGAAAGTTCGCTCCAAAGCAAAATTGAGTCATAAATGAAGAGGTAGAAAAACTCTTAAGTAATGGGCTCGTCGAGGAGGTTCACTACCCCGACTGGCTCAGGGTGGGTGGGATTATTCCATCTTGTTCATCTTTTCTTGGAGACCCTTTCAATTATGATGTAGAAAAAGCACAAAAGCACAAAATCTCATATGCAAGCTAATCAATTACCCCATTTTAATACCTTGTATTGTTCTTGTGGTCGATAAAAACAAAGATAAAAAGGGCTTACACTTTTCAAATAAGAAGAGACAGGTTACCTTTCCCTTAAAAACTATTAGTTGAAGTCTGTATATTATTAGAAGTTGCATTTGTCCAATAATGTCAAGTTGGTAGGGTATTATGGTGTATGGAATTGATTGAGCTCCTTTCTCCTTCCCTTGAGCTAGCTTTTGAGGGTAAGTTCTACCCAAACCCATTTATCATGGTATCAGAGCTATGCCGAACATGGAATAGGGTGTTAGGGTTTTAGAAAAGTTGATGGGTTGTAATGATGCCCACTTTTTCATATATAACTTTTTCATTTTTATTTTTGTGTAAACATATACAATTGTCATTATATCACATGTTCTTCCGTCAATAAAATTTAACACACATGTTAGATTAATGTTATCCTTCTATATAAGATTATATTATTTGATGTTATACATTGGTGTGCCATTATAATGGACTATACTATGATAACTAGTTTGGTCTTCTGTGTCATATACTATATATTTTTTTTTCTTGTCTAGTGATAATAAAGCAACTGTTATTAAACCCAAAAAGATTCCTCAAGTCGAATAATGTGTAGGGAAAGGTATATGGTTTAATATTTTTAACTTGGTTCACATTACAAAGAATAGAATGGATGGTTCCTCAATGTTGAAAAATCAATCCTTTGAAGTAAAAGACAACATACATTTTTACTTTTACCCTTAAGTTAGGAATATTAGCTTTCTTTCTTTGGTTAAATATAAATAGAGTTCAAAGGTGATTGCTGTGACATGTATCTCTTCAATTTATGCAAATAATTTTGTTGTGATGGGCAGTCTCGTTGGTGAAAAGGATGGTATAAATGTTCTTTCTCTTTGTGTATTTATATATGTGCCTTTGAATGATCATAAGCATTCAACACTATTAGTAGTCTCCTATCATGTTTATGTTATTATTGCAGGGATCATAAGATCTGTATCAGATACACCACCAACTCATTATCAAGTCATAATACAGTCATTTTCATTACTTTTCGAGAACGCAGAGAAATATGAATCTGCAGAATTTGAAGCTGGAGGCTACAAATGGTATATTTCTTTCCATAAACCAAATCACATAACATCGCACGTTCTTTAATTTTAGACTCCATTATTTTGGTTAATTGTGTCCATGATAATGATTGCAGGAAACTTGTTCTCCACCCAAATGGAAATAAAAGCAAGAATGTGGAAGACCACATATCTCTCTACTTAGCCATGGCAGATGCAACTTCTCTCCCTCCTGGTTGGGAGGTCTCTGCAGTTTTTCGATTGTTTTTGCTTGATCAGAACCAGGACAACTACTTGATAGTTCAAGGTGTATAGGACAATTTAGCCACCTCCCACCTTTTTTCTTGTTAATTTTATCTTATGACGTGTAGATAACTCTTATTGAACGGACATGTAGATAACGTGATCCATGCATCTAATCCAAGATTTTTAGTCCCTAATTCCATTTGATCTTGAACAACTATTATTAAGCCTGTTACTCTTACTAATTATTTGGTAAATTGTAATGCCTAGATTCCCAGAGAAAGCAAAGACGGTTCCGTAGATTGACACCTGAATGGGGTTTTGATCAATTCATCCCAATTACAGTATTTCGCGATTCTTCTAATGGATACCTGGTGGATGACATGTGTGAGCTTGGAGCAGAAGTGTTTGTTAGGAAAGAAAGAAGCACAGGCAAAGGAGAGTGTCTAAAAATGATCAAAGATCCTGGCGGTTTTAATCATCTTTGGAAGATTGAAAACTTAGAAAAGTTAGACTCTTATGACTCCAGAGAATTCATTGCTGCTGGTTACAAAGGGTATAACTCATAACACTTTTCCATTGGACTTCAATGTGAATAGATTGAAATTACTAAATGTTATTTCTGTATTGGTTGCTGCAGGAAGATTTAGCTCTATCCTAAAGGAATAGATTCTGGAACTGGAAGTCATCTTTCTCTGTACTTGGTTTTGGCAGATTTAGCATCTCTTACTCCTCCTCCTAAAATATATGCAGACTATTCTCTGGTCCTCTCGAATGAAGTGGGGACCAACGGCGTATCTTATAAAGGTAAAACTGATTCTTACACAGCGACTTTGTTACAACAAAAACTTTGATTATATCATTCAATTTTATTTACCATATGATCTTACTATGTCTAGAAGACGAAACAGTCGAGATTTGCATAGCTGTTCTGTATGTGAAAACTAGGAAAGCTCATAATGTTCCTTTCTCTTGCAGAGAATCACTGGTTCAATGCCTCAAGTCGGGAAAGTGGTTCTGCAAACTTTATTCCCTTAAGATTCTGTTTTGAGCCTGCATATAAATATCTAGTGAAGGATTGTTTCCTCTTTGAAGCAGAGGGACCATCCGGGGTATTGCTAGTACTTTGTAATAAGTTTGTCTAAGTTCTCAAATTTCCCAGATGAATTGTGGGAGAAAGTATAATAAATGTGGCATTATTTTATTGGTTAAAGATTGTAAATTTACATAAGTTTGTCTAAGTTCTTTTACATTTGAAAAGTCAGTGCCGAACCATTGGAAGTCAATTACACACAATTGCAGGAACACGTATTTACATATGTACCAGGAAAATTGATGTTTCTCAGCCAAATGTTTTCCAGCTGCTGTAGCAGATACATAGGAAATTGGAGAATGCAAAGGAAAGAACGCACAATTGGTTTTGGGAGATGAATTTTTCTTGTTTTGTCTAAATTTGACTGACTTTTTCTTATGCAACTTATCTCTATTTCATTATCTCAAACAACGGTTATTTACATGCTAATTACATCACTACATACGTCATGGGTAGACCTATTATGAGGAGCATTAAATGCTGTCTTAGGCTTATGACATTTTTACCATTTACAAAGTTATCATATTACACAAAATCATTACATCGAATGTTTAAATTATCGAAATCTTATATTATTTTAAAGATTATTAAGAATTTAAAAAAATATATATTTTATTCGTTGGAATAAATGAGTAAACATGTTATATTAATATGTTTGGTTAAGAAGAATATATTAGGGGATATATTATTTAAATTACTAAGCGATCCTTTTTTTTAAATATAAATAGATTGTTATTTTTATTATTAATTTTTGAATAATCTATTTTAACCCCCAATATTTCAGATTTAGCTAAAACACTCCCGCTTATATAAAACTTTAATAACAAAATCACCCCCACCACCCTACTGCCTTCACAAACCATTGCCGGAAGTCGCTGTGAGTAGCCCACAGTGACTAAGAGGCTTCGATATGGCCGTTTTCGGCCATATTGGTGGTCGAAAATAGCCATATTAGACTAGATCTGGCTGGATGGATCTGGCCGTTCCTTGGCCATTATCGACCAGATCTGGGTAAGATCTACCTGATAATGACTAGGGATCTAGCCGTTTTTGGCTATCAATATGGTCGGAAATGACCATATCGGAGCCTCCCAGCGACTCTCAATCATTTTTGGTGACTTTCTGGTGGCAGTCCGCAATGGTTGGCCCGCTGTCAGTAGTGGTGGTTAAGTGGCATGGTGGTCTTAAATTTGTTTTAAATATAAGGGCATTATTGTCCAAAATTTTTATTAATAAGGGATATAATTGTAATAAAAATAAGATTACCTCGGTAATCTTACAATACCTAAGAAAATAGAGGTAATCAGATTACCTCCAATATTACCAATAGTAACTACTATTGGTATTGGAAGATTACGAGAATCTTATATTGCTTGACAACCAAATGTGGTAATCAAAGTAATATAAGATGACATAACCTGAGTAATGTGATATTACCCCCAACCAAACGCCCCCTAAGAAACAGTTGAATCCTTCCGGGTAGTTAACTGTCTCTGAAAACATTGATTATGACTCTAAATCAATGACCTCTTTCAAGCAGCACACATAATGCTTCTGATGGCAAGCTCATTTGATCGCTTGGACACTTTCCTATATTGCTTCTAGATCGCATTACCTTCTGGTCGCTTCTTCCAGATCACATGCTCATTGAGACACATGATTATGAACACATCTACTTTAGCTTGCATCCTTCTTATCTAGCACATCTGGTCGCTAACTTTAGATCACAAAGCCTTTAGATCAAATTTTTATGTTTACAGAAAGGTATCACATGTCATAACAGAGATGGTATCCATGCGACTGGTTGTAAATAAAAAATGACAATTTGAAGCGTTAGAAGATTCTCGGTATGCAACAGAAGTTGAGTACAAGAAACATCATTGAGATTCAAAATGACACTAAATTTTAACCTGTTTAAGGCAATATATTCTTTGTAAAGACAGACAGAGTTTTTCCAGGAGTCAGGTTTAGCCTACTATTTAAGATGTGGATAAATTGCCTCATCTGACATGTCTCGAAGAACTAGGAATCTGGAAGAAACAAGAAGTTATATAGGCTTACGTGATAATTACCTTTAAAATTAAACAAATTAAAAAAAAAAAAATTGCTTACGAACTTGATAAGTTCCATTGCCTTGAAGAAAAAAAAAGCAAAAAAACGCAACGCTTGCAAAACCCCTTAAAAACCCAGTTTGTTTAGATTTGTTTTGCCAAGCACTTTGCTTTAGTTTCTCTTTGATAGCAGATAAAGCTTCAGGTTTGGATCAAGTCCTTCACTCCGTTGAATCCATTAAAGTTGATGAACAATCGAAGCAGGACAATGCTGATACTAACGAAAGTGACAGCAACTTGCAAATCACGTGCTTCTCCGACCTCGTAGATGATGTCACTCTCAGTTTTCATATCATCCGTTTTCCTAATTAGGTTCTAGTTCTAGTTCTACTTCTACTACATACATAACTGTGATATGCATAACGGTAGATAGTAATAATTTACTTCGATTTTTGTTGCACAAAACAAATATATGCTTAGATTGGTTGTAACTCTACAAAATTTGGCCGCTGATATGCAGCTGCGCCTACTCAGCCAGTAAGTTTATTTTAATTCAATATTTATTAGTAAAATTTGAAATTCATCATGAACTTAATTTGAAATTATGAAAATCATCGTTACTATAGAATGATTAAATGAATTTTCAGCTAACAATATATTTAAATGAAACCAAAAAATTGTCATTTGTAACCAAAATATATGTTTGGTGTTAGGATGCCGGTAATGAGGTACGAACCTAGAAGGAAAGAGAAAAAGTAATTGAGATTTTTCTTACTGTAATTTTTATGATGATGCGTAGAACAATACAGTGATTGTTAGTTCAATACTTGGAGGAGTTTCTGACATTACTAGATATGGCATTGCGCGAAGATTAGGTATTGTATGGGCCAAAAATCGTCTTGGGTCTTATCAGGCCCAAGCAAATATTTTCTACTATGTAGGCCCAAGGTCGTGGCCTAATTCCTGTTGGGCCAACATCATTAATTCATGCCATGGGCCATAACGCACGGCCTAAACCCAGCATCTCTCCAGATTGGGCATCACCATTGGCCCACCTGGGGCTAAGCCCATTGGTCCAAGATAATTAAGACCTCTCTTATTTGGGTTCTATCCTAATTCACCCAAGATTCCGTATTTTAGGTGAATTAGGACTCTTAATCCTATTGAGGCAAGTAAATTAGGATCTTTTCTTATTCACTAAACCTTTACCATTATGGATTCAAAGTCCTACTAGGATACGAAGATCCTACGACTACTATATAAACAGGGGTCACACTTCTGTTTGGGCATTCAATCTCAATACCACCTACTTGCACTGAAGCTCTTACTTCTAAAAGTTATACACCTACACCGTGGTTGATAATCTATGGATTATACAGTTTTCATTAGAATTTTTAGTCGGATTTCAGGTACTTTTTAGTTCATTTTGACCTGAATTGTTACTTAATTCTTCACATTTTGTGTTTCAGGTTAAAATGGATATTTTGAGCAAATAAGGACAAAACTGGAAATTCTGGACTCAAAAGTAAGCGGATCTCAGGAGTTGGGAGAGTTCTGAAGCAGGATAAAGCACTATGAGGCTTGTTACAGAGGGAGAGCACCGAGGATCGAAGAATCAAGTAAAGATGCAAGCGGAGTGGCAGTTCTGTAAATTCAGAACTTTTCAAGAAGTTTCGCCGCGGCGAAGAAATACTCTTCACCGCAATGAAGTGAGCCAGACAACAGATCTGTTTAGTTCTTCGCCGCGGCGAAGTTTCTTTTTCACCGCAGCGACGATTGTAATTTTCAGTTTTGTAAAACGCACAGCTTTACTTTGTGCGTGTTTTTCTAAGGACTTTGGGCGAGGTATAAAAGAAACACTTAGCCTTTTGGTCAGGGGGTCGTCCAGAAAATAGGTTTAGCAGTTTTTACATTTTTCTTTGATTAAGTTTGGAGCATTTTTAGAGATTAGAAGGTTGAAGATTCGATTTTGAACCAAAGGATTCATCATTCGGGGAGATTTCTTGTCCTTTCTCTTACTTTTCATTATGTTAAACTTAAATATTATCGTTTTTCTTATTTGTAGTGTTGATTTAGCCATGAACTAACTCATTTTGGGTTAGGGTTTTGATGGAAATTCGGATTTTATTGGGTTAAGCGTTTGTTTGATTTATTTTCATATGATTATGCTTTGGTTGTGTGTTTGCTCTGAGTTTTAATGCTTATATTTGATGAACATGATGAGATTGAGAAATGAATCATGTTAAGCTTCTTGGGTAATCACCATTGTAGTATTGGATGCTAGAGATAGATTCAAAAATCAATGAAATCATTGTAGAGATAGATTCAAAAATCAATGAAATCATTGTAGGATTCTTTTGCTTAATGAGTTTGGAATTGTTAACTTTCAATTTGTTGGGTGCGGAAA